TGTGTGTGCGTGCACATGTCTGTGCCTGATTTCATCAATAAGATCAGTTAAGTTTCTGTTTGAGGCTAAACTTCAATGAAATTGGAAACACTGGGTCTCAGTTCTTGTATATTTACACATTGAATACTGCACATTATTTCATTGTTGTAATGAATACACTGATTTTCAGATGGGTGTAATGCAACAATATACTATTGAAAGCAGACAACATGCCAAAGAAACAACAAAATGATGAAGACTGGACAGCTGGTCAGAGTTCTTCAAAGCAGAAACCTCCACCTCAGCATCTCTGCAAAACTACAGCCTGCATAGTTACAAGGGGACAGTAAATGATAGGTTCATACTTTTGTCTTCTAAGACTGATCCACTGAGTGCATTTACTGTTTTTCCAAAATGTTAACCATGCTTTAAGCAATTGGTTGGATCAGTTCTCAGCCCCCTCCTGTTCATACTCTACATCAGGGGTCTCCAACCTGTAGCTCAGGAGCTACCAGTAGTTCTCCACCCCATTTCAAATAGCTCACCAAGGTATTGTTGAATTATATATATTGTGCTGAATAAGTACAATTTGATTAATTACCATTGTAAATCTACGATATTAATGGCCAGTTTTGTGCACTAATAAATGAATAATCGTTTATATGTTAGCTATCTAACTGTCCCTAATCTAAGGCTGTGACTCTTATATTTACTACATTTCTTGCAACTGTTAAAATAAGTAGCTCTTTGGCATTTTTGTTTTGTAAAGGCTCACCAGAGAAAAAAGGTTGGAGACCCTTTCTCTTCATCCTCCCCCCTGGGTCATATAATCCTTCCCCACAGCCTCCAGTTCCATTGCTTTGCAGATGACATGGACTCTGCCTGTTCACCAAATCCATAACCCCAGCCACACATTCCACCCTCACAAACTGCATCTCCAATATAAAGTCAAACTTCCTCCAACTCAGCTGCTACAAAACAGAAATAATCATTGGCCCCAAAACACTCGCCAAAAACCCACAATAACTTCACCCTCTCCACTGACGACTCCTCAGTCTCCTCCTCCTCACACCTCTGTAACCTTGGTATCTTTGACCAGACCCATCTTTTGAACACCAC